CCTGGGCACACTGCCGGCTCATGTTCAGCCGGCTGTCCACCAACACCCCCAGGTCCTTTCTCGCCGGGCAGCTTTCCAGCCACTCGTCCCCAAGCCTGTAGCGTTGCATGGGGTTGTTGTGACCCAAGTGCAGGAAGCCAGCACTTGTCAATTATAAAGCTTTTAAAGAAATTTTATTGGGAAAAATTGGTAAATGCAGGTCTGGAAATGTGACATCTGACAGGAATTTATTTCTGGTACAGAAGTGTTTATCACTCTCTTCCGGTCCTCACCTCCTGATGCGTTTCCCTGCTTGGTTCAGCTGTCCCGAGTGGAAGCGCACTGTGTCTCAGCAGTGCACTGCACGTCACACAGTGGCACCCTGCTAATGCCCTGGGGCCCCCGAGCATTTGACTTACGAATCTTCTACCGGTCTAGTACGGCCGTATTCTGAGATGTGCTGTGTTTTGATTTGGGTTTTTTAATGTCTTGTGACAGCTCAGCTGCATGTGCGTCAGCCGGGAAGGGAGCTGTGAGCTGCAGATTTAAACTGGTACAGAGAGAAGGGCTCAGAGGAATAGGGGAGCTCACAGCCTCTCAGGCTTCTGTCAGGCCAAGCTGATACTCTCTGTGAAACAAACGAAAAGGAAACATTCTGTCTCAGTAATGGCAAAGTAACAATGCTGTTAAGCAATGAATTTGGTAATACAGATTTTTTTCCATAAAAAAGACTTTTTTGCCTGTTCTAGGTTAAAAAGATATTTATTGGAATGCCTGAGGGACAGTTTATGAAAGCTAGCTGTTAACCTCTTCCAGTTTTATTCAGAGCACATCTTTTTGTGTCCATCTGCTCTAGTCCTGACTTCCAAAGTTCAACTCTCCCAAAAGAACATAGCTGCCATACTGTCGTACTCAGAGTATTCAGTCTGCCCAAGTGGCCACACTGTCTCCGTTGGTGACCTGTCACAGAGACTCAGAGAAGAGTATTAGGACAAGAAATATGCAGGGGGGGAGCAGTTTCTTTCCATCATTTCTTCATCTTTGTCTTGGTTTCTCTGTTGCACAATAAAAATGGAGTGTAATTAAAAGGACTTGGAGCATGTATGACACTAACAAATAATCTGCCTTTTTGCTTGACCTCCTTTCTTTGTTCCTGATACAATCTAATTTACATCATCCCTGTATCTATTGCAGATTGTAAATGCCCCCAGGCAAGGGCTGTGTTTCTTTTTCTCTCAAGTGCTGTGCCTACTTCTGATCTATTTAGAGTGTAAAAATCTGAACGTTGCTTTGTATTTTGTATTGTTTGCAACTGAAGAACAATCACTGTTCTCTGGTACTTCCTTGCTTTTTGTTGCATTTGCTTTGAGTGTTTTACCTAGGCACAAAATGATGATAATTCAAATTTAATTTGACTTAGATATTTTAGTATGGAAGCTCTTTAAAAAAGGAAAAAGAAAAGGACTTAGTAGCTATGTTTTAATGTATTCATTATCAGATTTTCAGTACAACCTTATTGCTTTGTTATTTTCATCTATGTCCTTCTGTTCCTTTCCCGTCTCTGCTTTGGTTACCATAGCGTGGAGACATACTGCAAGTCTTGAACTTGCAGTTCAAGAACTTGAACAAGCAGTTGTGTTGACCTAACTAGTGATATTCACTGAAGAGGGAATATGATTGGCTCTCAGGGCCTTGCATCATATTTTGTTTTAGTTGTGTTTGGGAAAGAAAAGAAAAAACAAACAAACAAAAAACCATCTTGATGACAGAACATAAAATAATGAGAAACTTCACAGACACTCAGGTGTTCTTTTATTTTTGATCAAGTCATGTGAAAAAACAATCCAACAATGTATGATTTATCTTCTCTTTTACAGACTTATAATCAAAGCCAATCAAACAAAAAGAGCATCCACAAAGCTATTTCGGGAAACAAAATGCTTCATTTCTACCAGCATAACCCACGTATGATTCCAGAAGGCATAAATCCAAAGTTGCATAAAATGTTTATTACTGCTGAAAAATATGAACCAAGCAATTCAAGAATGCTTTCCAAAGAGAGAAGATCTAGTTCCCTCCAGCATAAATCTGCTCTCTTTTCCTGTGTCACCGGTAAGAGGATTATAGTGTTTTTCTGAGCACTGCGTAAGCTGCTATCTCATGTTGTTATATTGCAGCATATCAAAACTGCGTGCTCACATGAGTTTTGGGTCTCTAGCAAAAGTGTAATTTCTGTCAGCTGTAGCCTTTTGACTGTGATACTGTGCTGACGGCTGCTTTAATTCCTCATCCTTTTCCTTTAACACCCTCAAATCACAGTTCTGTCCTTAAATATCCATACTTCAAGTCAGACATTTGTTTCCTCTTTGTCCATAGAGCTTCTCATGGAGTCAATGACTGAAGGTCAAAAACTCCAGCTACAAACAGAAGAGGCAAATGTTAATGCTGCCTTCTGAAGACTTCTGATATACCTATGTCAGGTGGCATAATTGTCACCTAAATGTTTAGTGATAATTCTGTACCAAATCTGGTTTTGAGCTTTAACAGTTTACCTTAATGTTTGGTTTTTTTTAATGCAAGAAAAATATGTCTTATACCTGTGTAAATGACAATAAAATAGAAATGCTTGAAAACTAAAGAGTTTTGAGGGGAGGAAAAGGAGAAATCAAGGGTTAGGATATTTATGAATCGCACACAACCTTGGAGGAAAATTAATCTAAAAAGAGAAATGGCTCTTTAGCTGATGCAGTTACATGGCACTGAAATACTCGGTAAAGTGAACAAAATTATAAGATTTTTATAAGAAAGAGTTAAGTTTTGTAAATACTTAGAAATTGTTGTGCTCCATCTCTTTAGTTAACTCCTTTCTGTAAAGACCAATAGCAACTCCTGGAAAGAGGAAACTCCTAAAAGCCTTGGGAAACTTCGTATTTCAATATCTGAGCAGTTAGACTTTAGAGTCAGTGGGTTTTAAATGCTTCTGATCAAAAAAATTCTTATCAGAATCTACATCTCATCTCTTTCCAGACACCATCCAGGGCAAACAAAAGGCTGAACATAGAAAGGGGAGGCAAGCTACAAAATCATGCAGGAAAAAAATCAGCTTCCCCTTTGGCTTCCAAAAAAGTTCATGCTATCTCCCATTTTGCGGGGTAGAAATGTAGCGAAGAATTAGTATCGATAAACCAATCTGTACATGCCATCCTGAGCCCAAACTCTTTCTAAGTATGCATGTGCTGCGGACACAGTGGTGGCACAGTCGTGATGATGCTCCTGATCGTGATGTTTCCCATTATGCCTCTGGAGCCTTCTGTAAGGTGTGCTTCTCTGGGTTTTGTGCGCAACCCAGATGGCGGCCAGTGAGGAAAGCCAAGGATGGAATAAACAGACACCACTTGTAAGAAAATAAGCAGAGCAAAACATGGAATTAAAATAATAATTTTAGAATGTAAGTCTGTCCTAGAAAATAGAAATAAGAGGCAGTAAGCACATAAAGAAGATAATATGCTGAACGTATTTCCTTTTTGGAATAGCACTTCAAAGGCTGTAATTACCAGGTTGCTTTTGTGTGAAATAGGTTAGCAGCTGGCACAATTGAAGTACATAGCATACAGGGAGCTCTGTCCGTTGCTGAAGGTGAACAGGATTGAATACCCAACCTGCAAACAAGTGTTACATAAGTACAAATTAGTGAGCACCAGCTTTGTGCTGGAGTCCCCTTCATTACTGTATGAAGCAAGTGGCTGTTTCTGATATTAATGATATTCAAGATAAATCTCAAGAAGAAGAGAAAGAAAGGTCTTTAATTTTGCACTTTCTTCTCTCCTTATTTCAGTGCTCCCTTCCACATTAGAAAACTGAAAAAGCTAGCAGTAATGAATAAACTATGTGTGTTCTTATTTACACTTTCTTACTTTTCATTTGTTCTTGAGGTTCAGTTCATCTTCAGGTTTGTCTGTGGAAGAATACATGTGCACAGAAATTGAAGTATCTTGGGCAGAAGTATTGTAGTAATTTCAAACATTCTCCTTCTTTTCTAGTCAAAATTAAATATTTCCTGTTCTCCTTATTTTGATTTGATTTCTATTAATTTTACAATATTCTTCCGCTTCAAAACCTCTTTCATAAATTTTTTGTGTTTGTCAATACCAGAAGGACACACTATTCTTTTCTTACCCCATCACTAACCAAGTGTGTTCTTCAGTCGTATGAGCTTTTCTTCAAAAACTACAGCAACAAGAGCAAAAATCCCATTGCTCAGCAGTCCTCTTACATTGTTTCTTCTAATTTGAGATTCTTTTCTCTCTCTCAGTCTTTGATTTGTTTGTTGGTTGTTTTTTTCCTTAAGAATTTGCTAAAATTAAATAGCATATTAGTAAGTGCAGTAAAATCAAAAAGCATTGAAGAAAGAATAGTTTTGTGCTTAAAATGGCTTGGACTCATTAGAGGAAAAATCTCTGAACAGATTTTGAGACAGCTTATGTTTTTTATGTTCATCTTTTTTACTTTATAAAATGAGAATAACTGTCCCACAAGATAATTGAAAAATGGGAACTGCTGAAAGATCTGGATAATCATCTATAATGTTGTTATCTTTTCAAATTCTCTGCCAGTCTCCCTGCTCTCTGAGAGATATGAAACCACAGTCAGCATGGCAAAAAATAGTTGACATGCATTAAAATGTGCTCTTCCTATACCCTGTTGTTCCTGGTAGCTGAATGTCATTTTAGGCTGTCAATAGTTTCTTTTGGTTTTCTTTTTGCATTGCATTTGTCTAGATGAAATCTCATTTTGTTAATTCTTCTTCTCCTGGTTCTTCACAATTACTCTACTCCCCCCTTTTCAGATTTTATCAATTTTGAGTTGTTTATAGTTGTGTTCTTTGTTTGATTTTACAATTTCACATTATTTCCTTAAATGCTGTTTTTATCTTAAGAATGCAATCTTCTTTTACTATCTTTTCCTAAAATACATCAATGCCTTCTTTAGTCTTTAGACCTTTTTTGGGTTTTTTATGCCTTTCCAGTTGCCCATGCATTTTAATATATTTGTGGCAAGGCCTTTGGATGGCTGATAAATTTTTAGAGCTCATCCTCTATTTGAATTAAATGTGCATAATAATGCACATTACCTTCTCGAGTGGTTGTCAGAAAACTATGGAATTACTGCAGAAGACTGCTTTTTTCAGTGTTTATTTTCTTAGAAAAAAAACCAGTTAATCAAGGATGTGTTTATGCACATGTACTTCAGTTCCTTGAATTCAGATTTTTTTGTCCTGACACTGTCCTTATAGCAGGAGGACACACTGCTTTGTGTGCTATGCTAAGTATAAAACACTTAACATGTGCCTTGTACCAGCTTTGTCTTGTCCTGCTTTTCTCAGTAGAGAACTGTCTTCATCTGATTGAGACAACATCTGGCCTTTTGCTTCTCAAAATTCAGTCACCTGCCTGCTTCCTTGTGTGTGTGCATATATTATTTTTATTTTTTTCCTTAGAGAGTATTTTACTTTTGCCTTTCTGCCTTTCTTGGGTTACACCTCTCATTGTTTTCAGGATGATAGCTGCACAAAACTTTCCTAATAAGGTGGTAGGGGTTTTTTAACTTACTTCAGCTATACCTATTTTGAATTAATTTTTTTCAGCCAATGACGTGGCTTCTCCAAAATACCAATTGCATCTTCTTCTGTAGTCATGCCTGCCCCACACAGGCCACTTGTGCTATGTGTGGGAGCACAAATATCAATTTTACTGACCAAAAGTGACCTCAGCAGCTGTATTGTGCTCCTTGCTTTACCTGTCATTCTTCCGTGCCCACTTCCTTCTCCCACATTCACACACTTCTAGTGAAGGAAGCATTAGTGTGCATCAATAGTGTGTAATTTCTTAGGTAAACCAGCAGAACCTTTGGACAGTTGAAAGTTTCTTTTGCACCAGCAGCTTTCTTCATAGTGGGAAGAGGGACAATTTATGACAATAGATTTGAGGTATCACAGGGCTATACTGTCCTGCTCAATACAGTGCTTCCAGTTCCTTCTTTCTTGCTCTTAAACAGAGGTTATCCCTCTGAGAACTGACAAATTCCCTGCTGGCTACAGGCTAAATCCACGTTCCTCTCCCCCTCCAGGCTCTTTCTTGCTCTCCTCCCAGTTCAAGGGAAAGGAAAGTATTTTGATTCTGGAGAAAAACTTCGAAAATAACATTAATGAGTTCAGTGATATGTTTGTCTTTGGTAGTCCCTGCATTCATAACTCATAAAATGTTCTTAAAGATAATTATCCTTAAAATGAGCATGTGCTACTTTACCTGAAGGGGAGACACTGTTGCCAATTAGTAAATTCGACAGGACATGGTAATTCTCAGCTGTGTATCCAAACAACCTAATCAGTCTCAGTTAGGATGGGAATTTTCTTCTGTAAGAGCTGAAGAAGAGCTCCTGGTACTTTGCAATTAGTAGTATACAGCTTAGCTTTCTACAGAATACTGTAAAATGCTAGAGGTTATCTGTACGATATTAATGACATGTGCTTATCTCATGATATTTTATATTCCCTAGGTGAGTCTGTCCACCAGAATGGGAACTTCCTCCTTTTGGTCTAATATTACCTGTGGTAATCTAAGCTATAAATTGAACTACACTAGTGTATATGTTATTATTCATTATATATTTCTGTTGGTCTAGTCAATGAATGTATTTTTGAAATTTCTTTGGCTCTTTTTCTTAAGTTTGCTTTTAATTTTGAGAACTCTTCTTCACAGTGAGTTTTAGTGAGTTGTGACTTTGTGTAAAAATGTGTAAAAATTAAACATTTCATAATTTGCAGAATTTATAGTATTCTATTCAGCTGTAATGATTCCTGATTAGTACAAATACATGCCTGTTTCCCTGGGCAACTTGCCTGTATTTTAGCAAAGTATTATTTCAGAGTGCTCTGCAGAACTCTGTGACGTCTCTTTTTCCTTCTGTTAAGAATGGACTCCTGAATTTGGAGTTTGTGAACACTGAAAATATAAGGGGGAGGGGGAGTCGTTCTGTTCTTGCTAGCCCTTAAGTCTGAAATTGTATTTTACTTATATGCTGGCAGCAGTCATATTTTTCTGGGTCCCTGTTTCTTTCCATTTTAGTTAAGTTTCACTTGATGTGAAATGTCAGTCCTGTCAGAGCTTATGGTGTGTTTCCTTGTCTAAGATGAGGAGAACAAGAATGGCGAGGGTTAAAAGTGTTAAAAGGTAGTTTTCCTTCAGTGTGAGATCTGCTTCGGTTTCCCTCCCTGTGTAACAACAATGAGGTTGTATGACTGAAAAAGAGTTTGAAAGGAAACTTCATCTCCTACTTTCCTCCTTTAGCCAGAGATACCCAGGTGTTTGGGTCAGATGGTCAGACCTCTCCCCTCACTGTAGGAAATTGTTGTTTCTGGTGAACAGAGCAGTTGAGCAACCTGTAATTTTGGCATTAACCTGCTGCCTGCTGGACCATATTGCTCATCTGCTTTTACCAGCCAAGGGGATTCCCTTCCATTCACCTCTCTCAGGGAGATCTGGCGTCCTTTCTTCATGTACACAGTCCGTTTTCTTGACAAAAATATTTGCTCTGCTCAGAAAGAGAAGCAGAAAGCCCAGAGCTTCAAGAAGTATCTGTTACTGACTTTTGCCAGCTGCTGTACGCCTTCATGCACCATGTATTGCCTGGGCAGATGGTATCGCAGGATCCTCTTGTCTGTGTCAAAAGGAGTTGTCCTCTGGAGCTGTAACACAGAACTGAAGTCATCTGTTGTTCTCAGTGTTTCCCTGGACGTGTCTGGATGGCAGCACTTCATCACCTGAGCTGTTTCGGAAAGTTGCGAGATGGTGTCTGGACGGTCATCCGCAAGAGCAAGAGGGAACCCAAACTAGATCTGTTTGCCTAAAAAGTTTTTTGCTGGTGCCCACTTTTTCCTATCTAACAACTTGCTGTTTGAAAATGCATTCTTGGTTCCTTGGTAGGCCATCTTTTTGCTTCTTGGTTATGAAGATAACTCTTAAGTGAGGCAGTAGAAGTCACTTTGGATTGACCAAGGGCATTACATTTTGATTACAACTGAGGACTCTTTCTGGCCTCTCCTTTCTGCCTTGTCCAGGCAGCACTCTCCAGAACTCCATGATAATCCAAGATTGACGTAGTCTGTCTTGGTGTGTGGGTGCTGGATATTAACTGCTACAGCAGACCTAATACTTATAATACTTAACTTGTTCTTATAAACACAGGAAAGGCTGTGAGAGATCCTTTTCTGATAAGTGTTCTTAATTTTCTTTTCCTTCAGGTCTCTCTCCTCTTTTTTTTTTTTTTTTTTAAACTCCTCTACTGGGTCCTTGAACTGTGTGTTAGCTATAAAGGAGTGTAACATCTCCTACACTGGAGTCAAAAATATTTTGGTAACAATATTGATCTTCCTTTTTTTTTTCTTTTTTTTTTTTGTAAGAATGGCCTTAAAACACTTCAGTGTTGGTTAGTTTTTTCCAGTTATGAAAGACTTTTTATGAGCAGGACTTGAATGTGCTACTTTGAGGGATCTGGGTTTGAGTGTCTAATAGACATTGTCACACCATCCCGTGGAGGCAGAGTCTCTGGCAATTGTAACTTGAGAGGACTGAGAGCTACAGGCTGATTCCTCTTACACGGCATTAATTGTAACACAGAATTAACACAGAATATAGGGTGTTGGCTGCAGATTCATCCCAAATCCTGTCTGCAAAGTGATTGTCGAATTAACTTAATTATTTTTCTCCAAGCTTCATACATCTGGGCTGAAAGCAATCACGTTCTTAACGCACTACATTCTTAACATGCTCTTAATGCTGATTCTTTGGATGTTCCTTTGCTATTTGCACTGATGGCTGTTTTGACGGATTTGGCATTTTTTTGGATAGTGGTGCTATCAAGTCTTGCTCTCAGACTGCCAAAAATGACTCCATTTCCTCTTCATCACTGGAGTGTACTCGCTCAGAGCTAAGAATTACCAGGGCCTTGTCTTCAGTAAGCTGCCGTATCAGCATTTAGTTTGTTTTAATCTAGCACTGGTGCTCACAGGTGCCCTGTGCTTCCCACTTGCAGTTATGAGTCTAAATAAAACTCATGATCCTCTTTTTTCTTTCCATGCTCCTGGGGAATTGTCATAGTACTTTTGTTTCTGTTCTCTTATTCATGTGTATGTCCTTAATAGAGGTGATCAATTCAAAAAATGGCATAACGAATATTTTTGTCATAACAAATTCATATTGCTTTCCAGTATTTAAAGAGTAACTTAAAAAAAAAAAAGGGGGGGGGGGGGTGTCACCAACCTTATTTGCAGTTTGTTCTCCAAGGTCTCTGAGACATATGTTTAGAAATTCAAGCCACATGCTTTCCCTCTTTGCTATACTGTCTTCAGGGCTTAGAAGTATTTGATATATGTATATCTCTCTACTTATATTTGTCTATCTATCTATATCTTTGTTTATATGATGCCTTCCCCCAAAACAATCATTTAATAGATAGATTTATCCATAATTATAACACATACAACACTGTTTTGATACTTGTTTCTGACATCAGATTCTCTATATTTGGTTTTGCTTGTGGCACAGAGAAGGTATGGGTTTTTTTGACTGGTATCATACAAAATTCTTTTTATTCTGTGTATTCTTTTTCTTAAAGTAGTTAACATTTTCCTTTCATTGCTTTTTCCCCCCCATAGGCCAAAAGCAAATACATTGTCATGAGAATTGGTCTCTGTCGCCTGAGGAATTTGAAATATGGGACAGACTTTACAGGATTAAGGAAAGTGATGGAATAAAGGAACCGATATTGCCTCAAATTCAATTTGAGACCTTAGAAGACCTGGAAGAAATATCAGTGAGTTTAACTTAAATGTAATGTTTCTTTTGACATAGGGCCTAAAGGATACCCTAAGTAGCGAAGTTAACTATGAACTCGGAGGAGGTCTATTTTAAAATACAATTTTGAGAATTATATGCAGCTAAGAATTTAGGAATTAGATGTTTGAAATGGGTCTTTGAGGTTAGGTCTATAAATTAAAAATACATTAGAAGGTCTCTCAGTATCCATTAAGTTCTGTTCCTGTTCCTAAGAATTTAATGCAGGATGCTGTATTCATGGTAGTATTCTATCCTTGCTTTTTCATTCCCTTGTTTTTACAACTATAAAAGTGTTACTGAAAGAAAGCCTCAAGTTTTATGAGCTCTTTTCTGATTCAGAGAAAAAATTTGGAGCTATTATGTCATATCACCACTTAACCTGTCTTCCATGAAAAATCGTGACAACACAAAGGATGGAATTGTTTTTATTTTAGACCAGACTTAAGCCTTTGTGATAATGTTCATATACTTCTCTGCAGTTAGAGTATATATTGTCCCTGACAGACAAGCAGACATTAGTTTTGCTAAACAATTTCTTGATTAAAATCTCCTTTCAATCTTAATTTCAAACTGCAGAGGCATGACAAGGAGGCAACTCATGAACTTTCCTTGTCTGAATGGAGAATTTGGCAGAATCGTCCTTTTCCTACATCTATGGTTGATCATTCAGATCGTTGTTACCATTTTGTCAGTGTTATGGAAATGATAGAACTGATGAGACATGAACAGGTAAGGTGTTTATGTTTGGCTGGCTGTAAACATGCACAAGTATTTAATGCACAATTGGAATATTTAAAAAATGAGTACTCTAATTCTATCTGGTCAGCTGAAACAAAAAGTGGGGAAGTGTTTGCATGGGGCTAAGTTTAGCATTGTGAAATGAGTAACGTGTATTTAATTTTGTTTCAAAATGTCTCCCATTGGTATTCTGTAATTCTTAATCTTTTCCACGGAAGTTGTTTAAAAATAGTTAGTGTTTTCCTATGAGGGAAAAAAACCCTAGCCATAAACCATTCTTTTTTCAATGGATCCAAGTATCAATTTTTTACAAAAAGACGTAAAATACAAGAACTATATATATCAAGGAGCAAAGTCACCAAGAGTGATATTAGAACTATTCCAGAGTGTAATAGGAATTAGGTGTATTTTGTATCTTGTATGTACATCAAATGCATCCCATTAAAAATATGCAGGACTGTATTGCATGTTTTAAGGTGGTTGAGTTTTGAGGCTTTTTGGTTTGTTTTCTGTGAAAGCTTTGATTAAAAACCTAATTGCTCCTAAGAATTAAAGGATAAGAGCAGGGCAGTCAAACAAACATGGATGAAAACCATTTGGGAGATGAGAATTTTGTTTACTAACAGTTACGGATAGCAGATATGCCTTTATAATGAAAGGCATATACAAGAAAACGTGTGTAGAGGTTGACAGTACCTGGAGCCTTCAGTTGTTCACTACACTATTTTTTCCTCCAGTTTAGCTCTTCTATGTTCCACACATACTGCTTTTTAGTGTGGTGAAGTTTTCTAGGTCATCAAAATCTGTTGCTAAGCTGCCAGAGTTTCCTGAATAACTAGACTAATCAAGGAGGAGAATAGAGACATTGTAGTTGTACTTCTTGCTAGGAAAGTGTATTAATGGAAGGTTGTAAATAGACTTTCAGAGCTAAGATAAGCTTCTCCACTTCGTCAGAACAATGGCATTCTTGACTTCTTTGAGAGTCTGTGTTCCCAAGCTAGGATCAAGAACATACTGCCAGAGAGAGAGGACTTTGAAGAGAGTTCAGGTATAGAGAGCTGAAGGAAGTCAAGAGGCAAAGAAATGGTTAAAAAAATTGAGAATTGCTCTTCTAATTGAGGACTTCCCTCCCCACCACCAAATTAGGCACTTGAAGTATTTGTGACTTAAGTTCCTTTTGTGAAAATGTATTGATACCAGAAGTCTGTTCAGGTTCCCAAGCTCCTTGCTAAACTCCTTGTATATGCTAAACTGACATCTGGCACCCTTGAAATAATTTACAGGGCAAATTTGTTAATCACTAAGCAAATCTTCTGTCTTCTCCCTCAAACTCTGCCAAAGTGCATGCCAAAAATTATAAGCAAAGCAGACTATCAAATGCTTGCTTCCACAAGCACTTTTACAGAACTTTTAGAGAGATAGGTCTGCCTACTGTCCCTCATGGGAATGAGACCGCCCAGCTCACCTACCCCTACTCTCTGCTGTGTGGCGAACAGAGAGGATGTCCCTTCAACAAACGGGACCCAAAACTATCGCTTTTTACACCGTGATCCTCACTTTACATTCTGCTTAGCTCTGACAATGGCAATCCAGCATAGGCAAGATGTGTGGTGCTGCATTCTCTGTGTAGTGCTCTGCTTGGAAATCATGCTGACGTATGCCATCATAGCACACCAGCTCTCTCCTCGAGCACTTCAGAGCAATTCTGCGTACAGAACATTGCAGTGCTGCAGAGTGTCTGCAAATGGAGTCTTGGAAAATGCTGGAAGATCTGCATCAGAAAAAAAGGGATACAGCTATTAATTGATAGCAAGTGATAAACATAAACAGTTGGCTTTCACTCTTTCTAATTTAACAGCTACATGTCAGCTTAATTGTCATACATTGTAGGTAATGCTCTCACAGTCAAAAGTTTGGGACTGCCTGTTACCTCATTCAGCTGCCTCCCAGCTCAATGTTTCAGCTGTTACCTGGATTGATTTCCAGCCAGCTTTCTCTAATCTGCCTTAACTAGTCATAGGTGGAGACGCTGAACTTTCAGTTCATCAGTTGGAACATCAGTTAGAGGAGAAATCATAATTGGGTATCACTGGCATGCTGAAAACACCATCTAATGACTTCACTTGAGTATGAGAGGTCACAACATGACACGTCACTCCACCCCATTGGATTCTTCTGGGGAAAAAGAAAGCACTACCAGTAACTCTGACCATGTCCGACAAGGTTGACAAGGCAGAAGCTGTAATCGGCACCGACACCCAGTTTTTAAACTCAAGTGATTGTTGGCCTCTTACTTACATCTAAACCAAATTGTCAAGGTTCAGGGGCATCAAAGCTTCACCGTAACTGTTTCACAAAAAACAAAGATGTAACGTGTCTTAATCTTTTTTGTCAGCACTGACAGTGATTTCTTGTATGTGAGTTTTATTAATGTCATCCTTGACTTCTCTGCAAGGCACTGTTAGTCTTCCCAAGACAAGATATGTTCCCACTGCAATTCACCAAAGGGAAGGGAAGTGAAACGTATATTATCTTTACAGTGGAATCTTCTTGAAGCAGTCACTGCACTGTGGCAGTCCTTACTCGTCAGGTAGATCACACCAGCAAAAATTTGTTGTCCGGCAATTCGGAAGAGAACAATCTTCCATGTTGCTAACGTGAGAGCATACGTAGGTGTGGGGGAGGTGGTTTTGGTTTCCTGTTACTATCAATCGTCCTAACTCAGTCTTCTGATAGCTTCAATTGTGGTGAATCAGAACACGCATATGGAGAAAAATGGGAATAATTATACAGTAAATCACACCAAAGAAACTTTCAGTATAAGTTTTTTTTTTAAAAAAATTTCTGTTCTAATCCATTTCTGTTAGTGAATGCTGCTTTGAGGGCTATCACTATTACCATAGAGCAGTTCAGTTTGGACCTGTGGAGCTATATGGTCCAGTCCAGGGCCTGGGCAGATCAGGTGGCTGGGGTCTTGACAAGTCAAGCCTTCAGGATCTCCAGGGCTGGAATCCCACAGCTTTTCTGGGCTCCTGGTTCAGCATTTGATCACCCTCATGGTGAAAAAATTTCTCCTAATATCTAATCGAAATTTCCCTTCTTTCGTGTTGTGCCCATTAGCTCTGGCCTCGGTGTACCTCCAGGAAGCCCAGCTCTGTCTTCCCTCTCTTCTTATACTAGATGAAGATGATAATAAGATCCGCTCTTCTTAAGACTGAACAGAGTTCCCTTGTCTTCACTTGTATATCCTTGTGCTCCAGCCCTGTGACAGTTTCGGCCACCTCTGCTGGACTTGATCCAGTCTGAGATATTTCTTGTACTGGGGGCCTAAAACTAGCCTAAGCACTCCAGATGTCATCTCGCAGATGATGAACGGAGAGTAATCGCTTCCCTTGTCCTGCTGGCGACTGTCTTGCTGATGGAGTCTGGGTGCGATCGTCTCTGTTGCCACAAGGGCACACTGCTGTCTCATTTTTCTGTCTGGAGGTTTCTGTCATTTTGTTGAGGACCCTCTGGACAGCAGCCCTGCCCTCAAGCATGTCACCTGCTTCCCTTCACCTGGTATCACCTGCAAACTTACTGAAGGTGCACTCTCTACTGTAGTCAAGGTCAGTAATAACAATGTTAAACGCTAAAAACCTCTGAGACACACTGCTAGCAGCTAGCCCCTGGCTGGACTTCATACCAGTCCTCAAAACACTTCAATCATGGTGGTCCAGCCAGTTTTCCACCCACCCTTATTGTCCACTTGTTCAAACAGTATCTCATGAGTTTAGTTACGAGATTGTGTCAGAAGGCTTGCTAAAGTTAAGGTAAACAACATCCACTGGCACTTCTCTTGCCCACAAAGCTGGTTACATCTTCATAAAAGGCAGTCTTGAATTCTTCATCCCTCTGTGTTCTGTATGCTTGTTGGGATATTCTCTTGAAAGCTTGAATGTTTTCTTACTAGTTTGATTTGAAGTATGTACTTTAAACTTAAAATTAGAATAAATATAACATTCGTGTAGCATTCTAATTTCACACATTTAGATTTTCCTTATGATATAATATTCCCAACACTGTTGCATATAAAATTGTTCACGTCAGGATCTTTCAAAAATTAAGGAAACTTTGCCAAAACCTGATTATGCCACATTGCCCATAGCCAGACCTATGGAGAGGCATGGATGGTTTGCTTTGACAGTAACTACTACACTGATTTTTTTTATATTTTTTTTTTATTGTAAAGTGCTCATTCTTACAAGAAAATATTGTTTAAAAAATGCAAAAGTAGAGCAAAAGTAAAGGAACTTACAGATTTGTAGGCAAGGTTTTGAATTTCTGCACTCCTACTAAGGCATGTTGATATGGGTGGGTATGTCTTGGCTGTATTCCTGACTGATGCCGTTTAGGTATGAGTAGCTCTGTGGGCAAAGTTCCACTGACTGAAAGAACTACCTATGTCCGCAAGTGCAGGGCTGTACAACACTGGCCCCACGTGTTTTTCGCCACTGTATTTTTATGAACAGTTCAGCATAAGATTGGGAAAAAACATGAGGTTTAAAATCATGTTTTTCTGCCAGATTTGAATTTAACCCCATTTAGTATCCTGCTCCCTTTTGCAGTGAGAGCTCACTGATGCATTGTGCTTGCTCAAGGCAGAGGCGGCTCACGGATAAGCCTGCTGCTGGTCCTGCCTTCATTTAGCGTGCTGGTGCCGTGGCTGGATTCGTGTATCCCCGGGTGCGTTACATCTGCTCAATATACAGCACATGGATTAGGTGTACTCAATATACAGCACACAGACTGGGATGCTCTTAATTCAAGCTTGGTGTTTTACAGACTACTTTGACCTAGGCATTCTTGGTGAAGATTGTTTCAATAGCAGGTTTAAACTTTCAGAAGCTTTGCTTTACCGTAGTGTTTAGATGTGTTTTGAAATTGTCGGAAGTGTTATTATTGAACAGTAGGATAGCATAAAGGGATATTACTTCAGCCTCTGGGAAATT